AACTACCAGAAAGAAAAACTAAGAAAACAATTCCATTCTAATTGCATCAAAAAAGAAAATACCTCAGAATAAATTTAACCAAGGAGATAAAAAAAACTTGTACTCAAAACATTGTATTACACTGAAGAAAGAAAATTAAGGAAATAAAAATAAGTGGAAGCATATACCATGTTCATGGTACAAAGAATTAACATCATTACAATACCCATACTACTCAAAGCAATCTATAGATTCAACACAATTCCTATCATGATATCAATTGCATATTCCACAAAATAGTTCAAAAATTCATGTGGAACCACAAAAGACCCTGAATAGCAAAAGCAATCCTATAAAAGAACAAATTTGGAGTATTAAGGCTACCTGATACCAGACTATATTACAAGGCCATAATAATCAAAAGAGCATGGTACTTGCATAAAGGCAGACATTTATGTCAATAGATCAGAATTGAGAGCACATGCCCCAGCTGGTATGGCTTAGTGGATTGAGTGCAGGCCTGTGAACCAAAGGGTTGCTGGTTCAATTTCTGGCCAGGACACATGCCTCGGGTTGCAGGCCAGGTCCCAAGTGGAGCGCACACGAGAGGCAACCACACGTGGATCTTTCTCTTTCTCTCTTTCTTCCTCCCCTCCCCTCTCTCTAAAAATAAATAAATAAAATCTTTTTAAAAAACGAATCAAGAGCCCATAAATAAACCCATGCCTTTTTAGTCAATTAATACTTGACAAAGGACGCAAGAACATGCAATAGGGTAAAGACAGTCTAGTCAATAAATGGTGTTGGGAAAATTGGACAGGTGCATGCAAAAGAAATTAAACAAGACCACCTTCCTACACCATGCACCAGAATAAACTCAAAATTAATTAAAGACTAAAATATAAGGCCCCATAAAAATCCTAGAAGAAAACAAGCAGTAAAATCTTAAACATTTCTTGTAGCAATTTTTTTTCCTGATATCTGTCCTCAACAAGGGAGACAAAAAATAAATAAATAAACAAATGGAACTACATTAAACTAAGAAGTTTTTACACAGCAAAGTAAACCATCAACAAAATGAAAAGGGAACCCAGTGAATGTGAGAACATATTTACCAATGATACATCTGACAAGGGATTAATATTCAAGACTTATAAAGAACTTATATTGTACAAGTCAAAACCAAAAAAACAAACAATCCAATTTAAAAGTGAGCCAAGGACCTGTACTTCTCCAAAGGGGACATACAGATGGTCCATAGACATATGAAAAGATATTCCACATCAGTAATCATCAGAAAAATGCAAATTAAAACCACAATGAGCTATCACCTCACACCTGTCAGAATGGCTATCATCAATAAATCAACAAACAAGTTGGAGAGGACGTGGAGAAAAGGGAACCCTTGTGCACTGTTGGTGGGAATGCAGATTGATGCAGTCACTGTGGAAAACAGTATGGAGTTTCCTCAAAAAATTAAATGGAACTGACTTATGACCTAGCAATTCCACTTCTGGGAAGATATCTGAAGAAACCCTAAACACTAATTTGAAAGAATATATGCACCCTTATGATTCATTGCAGCGCTATTTACAATAGTCAAGATTTGGAAGCAGCCAAGTGCTCATCAGTAGATGAATGGATAAAAAAGTTGTGGTGCATTTATGCAATGGAATGCTATTTGGCCATAAAAAAGGAAATCTTTACCCTTTGCGATGACATGGGTGGAACTGGAGACTATTATGTTTAGTGAAATAAGCCAGTCAGAAAAAAGACAAATACTGTAGAATTGCACTTATATGTGATATCTAATGAACAAAATAAACTAACAGACAAAATAGGTACAGAAAACAGACTGACCATTGTCAAGAGGGGAAGGAGTTGAAGGGCTGAATGAAAAAGGTGACAGGATTAAGGAAAAAAAACCCTGATAGACACAAACACAAGTATGGTCATTACCAGAGGAAAAGGGAGGAAGTTGAAGACAGAGGGGGAATAAGTTGTGATGAAAGCAGACTTGACTTTGGGTGGTGTGCACGCAATACAATGTACAGATTATTTATTATAGAATTGTACAGTTGAAGCCAATGTCATCTCAATAAATTTTTAAAAAATTAAAAAAATCTCACAATCCTCTGGTTGCCTAATCAGATCTCTCCTTCTCTGCCAGTCACTACCAGCTCCTCAGGAAAGTATGAGCTCCTCTGAGCTCAGCTGACTGGCGGTAGTGCAGGGCTCTATGTAACTGAAGGAAACAGCTATAGCTCACTCTTCTTGTTGTTGTTTGTTTTGTTTTTTTAAATTTGTTTTTTTCCCTAGTCAGATCCTATGAATGAGTTCTGACACATGACCTGATAATCTTCTGCTCACTGTAAGTGATGTACTGGTCTCCATCTTTTAAAAACCATTGGCACATGGTCAAGGAACAAAAGTTCTTAAAAGTTCAAGGTCTGTACTCTACTACTAAATGTTTTCAAAGAACAACCATGCCTTTTACCTGGTTGAAGTGAACAAGAAGCAGGAGAGAAAGCAAAAAGAGTCAGAAGAGAGGAAATAGTTAATCTCAGAAGTTGAGAAAGGGCCTAATTCTATTTCTAATACTTTCAAAAGATGAAAAAAAATGCCAAAACTGGGTTGCTAAATTACAGTATATTTTCCAATTAAAAGTATAGATTCCCAATTAGATTTTTAAAAATTTTAAGTCATGTTGCAAAGACAACATTGTTCTCATTTGTCCTGTATATCTCATTTGGAAGTAACATTAGAGTCTATTTTGAAGAATATGAAGCCCAAGCAAAATAGGACTACTATCCACAACCCATCTCCAGGTGCCCAACCAAAAAGCCTCAACAGAACAGGAGTAAAAGTTTAGAAAAATACACTAAAGAGAATACAGAGAGTAGCAGTGAAGCCTGTAAGGAGGTCACCATCTTGGGACTAGGTGTCAGGAGAAATGCAGAAACAAAGCAGAAAGAAAGGGAAGTACCATTAAAACCTGGAGTACAGCTTATAGTGGTCTCAGGTACACTGGGTGCCATGCACGATCACTTTCTACTAATTTAGCCCTGAGGGACATCACTGACTTATTCAATAAGAGGAATCTGCAACTATCCACTAGGTGCCACTAACATAAGGCACTGTGGTGGGGTTGAGGAATGGGAGTCAGGATAAAATAGAGTAGGACTGTCTCTGTTGACAAGGAAATTGAAATGTGTTCTCTGCACTCTCTGGGAAGCAAATAAGGATGTAAATAGGTCTCAAAAGAGAAAGGATTAGCTTCCTGAAAGATCTTCAATAAGTTGTCAAACCCTCCTAGAATAACTTCAACAGCAAGGAACTTGGTAATTCAAGATGAACGCTTGGAAAATCCGTATAGGAAGTCTGTCTGGAAAAAGTCCATCCCTTGTTAATGTAAGGAGAACAGTTTCCATGACATCGATGTAACCTGGCAGCCAAGGACAGTGGATTGGAATGCGCATGCGTGAATAATAACTTCACTGTACTAGTCAGTGAAGGCGATAGACACTGTTGAGAATGTGTAGTGTGGCCACTGCATTCAAAATGAGTGAGTAGAGCAACGAATCTGCATCAAATTTTACATTAAGCTTGAACATTCCCCCAGCAGAAACTATTCAAATGATTCAGAAGTCCACAGCTATGGGCAACTGGTAATTGGCAGCTTCGTCATGACAACATAACTGCTCATGCGATACGTCTCCTGTAGTTTTTTGGTGAAACATCAAATCACCTAGGTGACTAAGCCCTCCTACAGGCCAGATTTGGTGCCCTGCAACTTTTGCCTTTTCCCAAAATGAAAATCACCTTTGAAAGAGAAGAGATTTCAGACCCTCAATGAGATTCAGGAAAATACGATGGGGCAGCTGATAGCTATTGGTAGAACTGTGTAAGGTGCCAAAGTACCTGCTCTGAAGGGGACTGAGGCATCATTGTCCTGTGTACAATGTTTCTTGTATCTTCTTCAATAAATGTCTTATTTTTCATAGTACATGGCTGGATATTTTCTGGACAGACCCCCATATGGGCAAGTACTTGAAAGTTAGCATTGAGATTCTATTATGATAAATTCCTTTCTTTCTTACTGTTGTATGGTGTTAACTACTTTACAATCCATATACACCATTAGGCTATCATTCCAGCTCTCCAAAAACTTCCAAGATACTGGGGAAGCCAGTAAGGAGATCATGGCCTCCGGCCTCCAATAACTGGATGCCAGGAAGTAAGTGTCACCTAAGTTGAATCTTTTAAGGGGAACAGGATTAGCCTTCTACGCAGACACCCAAGAGTGCCTCAAGTAGAAGACATGAATGGCAGAGTGCGAGAGATGAGTAGCCTGCTCGGCCAAGCCTTTTTCTATTTGGTATAACCTTTCTCCTACATCTTCAACCCTGACTCCAATAATAACTCTGACAATAAATTTAATTTCCAGTAAGAATGTTTGGTGAATTACGCTTGTGAGATACCTGCATCATGGTCGCCCAAAGTCCGTTGTTTTGCACTAACTCTCCATCATTTCAGTAAAAGGCCTCTAACAGCCTTGAAACGCGGTTTCATCTGTATCAATATTTTATAAATACATCAAAAAGTTGGGAACTCTGAAGAGAATCGGGTTAAAGACAGCTGCCGCTCTGCAACGCAGCAGCCTAAAGAACCCAAACCGAGAGCTGTGCGCTGGGCAGCGGCGCGCGCTTCGTAGACGCAGCGGTGGGTGCGCGCATGCGCGGGAGGAGACGGCGTTCCAGAGGCCAAATTTCAGGGAAGAGAGCGCAGCGCGCACAGAATGGCTTCCAACAAGTATTTGGTACGCCAGAAGATCAGCCGGCTAGGCCAGGTGCGGCCCTGGGAAGCTCTTCCTCTTCCCAGCCCCCGTCCACCCCTCGCCTACCGCCACCGCCCCTCTCAGTCTCCGCCCCAGCACCTAGGCCAGTGGCTCAACCGCCGCCGTCCCGCCCCGCCCCGCCCCGCCGGGCTGCCTCTCAGGCCCGCCTCCCGGATCCAGCCCCGCCTGCCCTTCTTCGCCACCGAACCGTTCCGTCTCCTCTGTCCCCCTCCTCCTCCGCCCCGCAGTCCTGATTGTCTCTCCCTCCTTCCTTCAGAGGATGTCCTCCTTCCAGCTCAACCTCAACCCGCTCAAGGAGCCGCTCGGCTTCATCAAGGTCCTCGAGTGGGTGAGTGCTGCCTCTCCGGCCCGGCCGGCGCCCTCGGCGAGGAGGCGGGGAGCCCCGGGAGCGGGGGCGCGGCTCTTCTCGCGCTGGCCCCGAAGTCGCCGCCATCCCCGGGACGGGATGGGCGGGGAGAGCGCGAAAGGCCGCGGCCTGGGCCCGCGCGGGGCGGAGACGCCGCCGTCGGCGTTGAATCAGTAGCCCCTCGGCGGCCTGCGTCGCGGACGGAGCCGCCCTCCCACACTGAAGCTCACCTCTGGGTGCCCCCGTGGAAGTGGGAGTTCACATTTCTCTTTGGCTTCCCTGTTTGCCGCAAGGGAAGAGAAGACTTACTGTTGCAGTATAACCGAAACCCGGCCGGCTGGAGTCGCGCCCCGGGCGGCGCAGCCTCTCCGCGTCCTGGGGAAAGGGCCGGCCCGTGCCTTTCTGTCCGGTGCTGACTTCAGGCTGCTCCCTCGAAAGCTTTTGTAGTTTGTCGAAGTGATTTGACGAGCACTCACTTATTAATTTGTTTTAAAGATTGGCTCCAAGTTAAAAATGGATAAAAATAATCAGTGGGTCAGGGAAGCTGGCAGGGATGGTAGCGGGAGACGCGGGGGAAGGGAATGTCTTTTAACAAAACGCATCTTGTCAGCCCGATTCTCTTAAACACATGCTAGGAATCGCCATCACTGTTTGTTTTAAGTATTTCCAAGCAACAGACTGTAGTGAGCTTTTAGTCCTTTCCTGGGAACACTCAATCATTAACATCAAAGGAGACTTATTAATTCGACCTTGACAATGATCAAGTCACTTGGAGGAGTTAGTGAATACACCAGGCACTGCAAATTTTCTTCAGGCTTCATGGCCTCGCACATATATTAGGGCTGATTTTCAGGCCCTCAATAATAGGGAACTGGAATCTGTCCAGGGTGTAGTGAGCAAAATTTATATCGAATTCTTTAACTTTGTATTTTAGTGGTGAAGTGAACTTTTGATTTCTGTTTTAAATAACCTCCCCAGGATGTTTCTTAAAGTAACAGAGAAACTCCGATTCTCTCTTCAGTGGGTACTCAGTCTGATTTCCTACCTGCCTGTTCCTCGAGGTTTCACTTGGTGTTTTCTGAAAACTGAAATTGTGCTTATTTCACTCAAATATATATTTTAAGGACACATAATTGTGTACTTAGGGTTCTGTAAACCTGGTAAAGATTGAAATATAAAGCAAATTATTGATTGAATATATAAAAATTTAAAATTGCAGGAGGAAAAAATCACACTTAAACTAATCAATCGCATTGAGGATTACAGTTAAATTTATAATTTAACTTTTCACTTGCGCAAAGAGGCAGTTGTTTATATTTGTGCTTATATTATTTGTCTTTATTAAAAAGACGTAGATTTGACTTTTGTCTTAGTATTTTCAAAACAGTAAATTTATTAGTGATTATAGTCTGATGTATTTTGAATAGTATCCTTTTTAAAGCTTTTTAAGGAAATGCGACTGTTAGTTTGAACAACTTATTATTCCATAGGAGAATCTTTTAGAGATTATTCATTGTTAATGGTGTAGTGAATGTTTATTCAACAAATATTTGAATACGTATTACATACAGGTGCTGTGCTAAGCACTAGCACAGAAACATGAATAAAACATTGCCTTGTCCTCATGAACTGTTAAGACATACAAACAAATACGAAAATGCCATATGATAAATACTATAATAAAAGTATAGGTAGGATGTAGTAAGTGAAAGGAAGGAGAAATCAATTGCTTAGAGGAACCAGGGAGAATTTCAGAGATGAAGTAGCATTTAAAGTATGAATACTTGTTCCCTGAGGAGTGACTTTCCAGGCAAAGGGAGTCCTGTTTTCAGTGGTGTGAAAAGTTGAGGCAGCATAGCTCTGTTTGAGAACTTAAGCTAGTTGAGGTTGACTAGAACATAGACTGGGAGGGAGGGTATGGTTTGAGATAATTCTGAAAGGTTTCAAAGGGCTTGCAGGGTCATTTGTGGAGTTTATTCTACCTGCCAATGGTTCTTAACTCTCTGGGCCCTTTCCTTGGAAAAATGTGTATGTACAGGGTATAGATTTTGGGGAGTTTAGTGGATAGCATCCATTTAAACCCAGAATTCCTACCAAAGGCCAGGGACTCACTTATTTAAGTGTTTAAAACAAGTGAAGGATAAGATTACATTTGCCTTTTATAAATTTTCATTTTGTCAGCAGTATAGGGGATTGGAAAGGTCATACTTGAAAGAAGGGAAACCTGTTGCTTGAGAAATTATGAAAGCCTAAAATTAATTGCAGTGGGAATAGAGAAGAGAAATTTAAAAATTAGAATACATCTGGAGGGTAAAGAAGAGGGAACGTCTCTAAAATGACTGCTATATTTCTGACTTGGCTTGGTAGTGGCACCACTATCCAACATAGATCATTAAGGAAATGAAGCAAAGTTTTTGGTGGAAGATAAATAAATTTTCTGATGTATTAAGTTTCTGGACTTTTTTAGATCATTTAAGTGGAAGTACCATACAAGCAGTTAGATATATGGACTTGAGTTTTAAAAGATTAACATGAGGTGGAGATTCAGCAGACATGTGCCAGCAAAGGAGAGAAGAGATGGTTTGGAAGATGGAGAGAAAACATCTTGGCATCACTATTAGAAGTGTAAGAGTACCCAACATTATCAGGTGCAGTGGAAAAGTTAAATAAAATAAGGACTAAAATGCATCCTTAGTTTTGCTATTGGTGGCTTTAGTAAGAGCAAGCAGTTTCAATAAAATCAGAAACCAGAATGGTGGTGGGCTGAACAGATGTATGGTGAGAAAGTGAAGACAGAGAGGGTAAACCACTATTTGACTGAAGATGGGAGAAATTTAGTGGTAACCCATCTTAAAGATGGGAAAGACTGAATGGGTTTTGCACTATAGAGAAGAGACTTGGAAATAGAGTTACTGGAAGTTAAAAACAGTCAGAAAGGGGAATGAATTATAAAACAAGGTTCTAGAAGAGGGGAATGAATTATAAAACAAGGTTCTAGAAGAGAACCTTGTAGAGATTTTTAAATGTGTTTTGGGTGAGATACTCAAGTTTCAGCCCCGAGCAGTATGGTTCAGTTGGTTGGAGTGTTGACTGTGAACCAGGGGGTTGTGGAATCTATTCCGGGTCAGAGCACATGCCTAGGTTGCAGGTTCGATCCCAGTCTGGGTGCACCCGAGAGGCAACCAATTGATGTTTCACTCTGGCATTGATGTTTCTTTCCTTCTCTCTCTCCCTTCCCCTTCTCTCTAAAATCAATAAGCATGTCCTTGAATTAGGAATTTTTTTTAAAGTTTCATAAAACATTGGTTGAGGTCTGTTGAGGGCGGGGTTACCTCTAAAAATAGTCAATAAATAAATTTACAAACATCTAAAATCTAGGTAAAGGCTGCTTACCATTCATATAAGTAAAAGAATACTTACTCAAATCAGCTTATTACTAGCAAGGTTCTAGATGATTCTATACTAATATATAACCTGATAATATGTACCTTTCAGGGATTATAAATCTGAATGTCTCATAGAATGAAGACAAGATGCTTGGTAAATATTTATTGACATAATAAAAATATAGTTGCTGAAGCAGATGCATTTTCACTTCTAAACTGCAGCCACCATATTATTTATGTATAGATTATATTTTTTTAAGTTTTTTTATTTTTATATTTTTTTTAATACACTCCTGGCGCCTAGTTACAGTGTCTGGGAATGGCATTGCCTTAGTTCTCTTTGTGTAATTCAGTAAAAGTTGAATTTTTGTTATATTTATATGGGAATATCAATACAGGGCTGTTGGAATGATTGAGTTAATATATAAATATGTGAATGATGATAACACACTTGAACAGTTCTTGGTTTTTTCCAGAACTGAGATACTGTGTTTCTAAAAGACTAGACCCAGAGAGTGGGTAGAATTGAGCCCTATATGACTGACATACATATTTCCTAGTCCTTCAAGATCACTGTTCTCTATTAGATATTTTAAACTTTAAAAATGGTATATTGTATGCCTTTCTTCCAGCGTGTTATCCTGCCTTGAGCAGCCTATCTTGGTGTCAGTATAAAATTTAGATAAGAATAGATGCACCGCCCTGACCAGGTGGCTCAGTTGGTTGTGGCCTTGTCCTGTACACCACAAGGTTGCAGGTTCTATCCCAGATCTGGCATGTATGGGAGGCAGCCATCACATCACTGTCTCTCTGTCTCTGTCTGTCTGTCTCTCTCTCTCTCCCTCCCCCTCCCCGTCCTTTCCCCCTCTCCCTCCACCCTGCTCCCTTTTTCTCCCTTCCGCTCCCTCCTCCCCTCTCTCTCTAAAATAAACATATCCTCGGGTGAGGATTTAAAAAAAAAAAAAAAGGAATAGATGCCCCATGTGTAGGAGTTGAACACGGAAGTAATAGGGATTAATTTTACCAAAGCAGCTTTTTCAAGTTTTTAATATATAAAGAACCAAAATTTTAATTTTGGTTCTTTATAGTCAGTTATCCCTACTATGTAGATCAAAGTTTTTCATTAAAATACCTCCTTTTAATATTGAACCCCATATTTTGGACTTTCTTTATGCTATCTTGTATAGGGTAGACACTGAATAAATGTTTAGCCCTTAAGGAATCCAAATATTTTGCTTTTCTAATTCCGTACACACAAAATTAGAGAAGAGATACTGTTTGGGGAGTATATAAAGAATTACAGACTAAATATCTTGAACTTTAGAATTATTAATCATCTCTGAATATTTTTGTCGGTGCTGGTCAGCTTTATTCTATTAACGAGATACTTATTGAGTATACGTGTACTAGGGCTTTATATTTTTTCATTTAATCCTCTGACAGCTTATGAAGATAGTTATCCCCATGTTACTGGAGTTTAGAGAAATTATTTAAATTTCTCTAATATATAAATATTCTCTAAATATAAATATTATTATATTTAGAGTAATATACCCAATATCCCATGAATATCACTACACCCAAGACTCTTAAGAA